TGGCTTGAATGTCCCTTCACTGGGTCTCTTATGGGCAGCACCTTGGTGTCAGCTTGGAATGAAGTGACATAGCTTGCTGGAGCAGGTGGCAGGCAGTCGGGATTAATAAAACATAGGCTGACACATGACACACACTCAGTCCCCACCCACACATAGGTAGAATAATCACTATGAGAGCTCTTTAACCCACTCATCTGTGGTCTTATAGGGAGCCAGATAATATAGCTAATCAAGAGGATAATTCCTCAGTGATTCATAGGCGTGCACACACACCCACGCACAGGCTCACGCACATACACTAACAGTACAGCTTGATTTTCCTGTCTGTTTTTGGTTGCAGAATCAGATATTATTGTAACTGGTCTATTTTGTGTTGCATCATGCTTCTTGTTGTTTATCTGTGTATTTGCTTCTGCTACTACTTTGAAAAATTAATGTTGTGATTTAGTGGCAGATTCTATCGATAGACCCTGTAGCTCTGGGCTGTTATCGACTCCCATATGAGGCTCTTTGTAGTGGCTCTACAAAGCATGTCATATTTTAGCATTTGTCACAGATATTCTTTGCTTTGTTATCTCACTTGTTGCTCTGTGGTCTGCCATTTGTTTAGCTTTTGCAAGATTTATACTGTGTTTCTCTTTGTGGCACAGTGTGACTGTGATGTTCTGGCTCTTATTAGCAAATATGTGGCAAGGCTTTGCCTTTCAAAACATTTTGTGCTGCTCTCCATTGCAACAAATGGGATTATCTATCTTTATATCTTAGCCTACTTTTATCTTGCACAGCATGCAACCAAGCCTTCATTCTATGGCCAAAGAAAGATGCATCATAATAGGTGCAATACATTGCACTTTTCTGCTACCTTGATATTGCATGTGATGCATTTGTCCTTAAGTCATGACTAAGAACATATGGAAGCATGTTCTCTGCTTCTCACTAACACTGCGTATATTGTAATATCCACACCCTACAACTAATTCATGTATTAAGAAATTGCAGATCTTTTGTTGTTTTTTCCACCATTCGGGGGCTGGTTTGAAAAATACCTGGAGCCAAATCGGTGGCTCAGTCACTGAGTCAAGAAGAAAGAAAGCATGAACAAAGTGAGTGTGTAATTGATCGGACATTTTCCCTTTGAAAATAAAGACGTTTGATTTTTTTTTTCTTTGTCTAAAGAAAAAAACAATTGACTCCCCTTGAACCTTTTTAAAATCCTATTACAGTTGAAACACAGGACAAGGCTACAACCTGTGCAAGTATGTCAAAGAGAGTCCTGTATGTTTGTGTAATCGCATGCTACAAACATTGAAAGTAACACCACACAGGCATTTACAGTCTATCTCCATTATTTCATATCTTTACCATGACAGTAATCCAGTGGATTTGGGGCATTTTCTGTGTGTGTGTGCAGCGGTGTGTAGGTAGATTTGGAGAGACAGTTGATGTGAGGGCAATAGTTAAAATAACAAATACACATTCCCCCTTGGGGTTGTCTTGATCCAATCAGCCACCCTCTGCTATTCACACATACTCTCACACACACTTCCACCCACAGACAGACACACACCATCTGTGGCTAATGGTGCAGTGGCAGTGGTAATATAGCCACCACATGTGGTCTCTTTGTCTGAGTCCAGCAGAGCACACATCAGTCTTGCATGCTTCAACCTTCAGGCATCATCAAATACTGCACCTATTTTCAGTGCATCATCACACAGTAGCTTTCAGCTCATTAGAATAAGCTGCCGGTAAAGGTTTGTATGCAGCTATCACTAAGCTTGCTATACAAGCTAGATTGATTTATCAGTAGTTTGCTTGAAAAACTAATTACTTGAATGTATATAATCCCCACATTTTAAGTTACTTTTGATCAAATGCAGTTGTTGAGTGTTGGTCCCTTTTGTGAATTCTCTAAATGTACTGTTTGAATGACATTAGTTAAATTGTTGATGTGCCAAAATCGATGTGCCATTAGATAAAAATATGTTGGGTTTGAACCCAATGTTAAATAACAGATATTTGCTATATATGCCTCTTCTCAACACAGTAGAAACTGCCAGAGTCATCAGGTTATAAAGTAGAAGGGTCCCCAGGTGAGTTGGAAGTGGACATCATATTACTTCTTAAAAGAAAGTAGACATATTTTGTTGACTGACAGTATGGCAAAAGTGCTTGGAAGAATAAAGAAACTATGATGGAAAAAAAGTGTTTGTATATTAAGTATTAAATGAACTAAAGATTAGGATACTGTAGACATTGTGATAAGAGATTTTATACTTGATCACTGGACAACAAAGTGTGGCTAACTGGATTAATTGTGTTGATACATGTTTGTTCAGATCAATAATATTTAATGATACTAGTGCTGTGGTGTCAGACACAATAGGGATCACATGTACAGTGTACAATACATCACTTTGGTGAATCTCATAATAAGTAACTAAAAATACTGTTTAAAAACAATGTTGTTGGATTTTTAAGTTGTTTTGTTGTGTGCAAGTGTGTAGTTTTGCTGACATACAGCGCGTGTATGTGAGAGAAAAAGTTCTGTTTTGGGGTAAACAACTGCTAGTCTGTTCTTCGCTCCTCATTATATTACCTGCATAAGATGAAATGCTGGTGTTGGCACCTAATTTTGCAGTTCTTTCTCACTTTCTGCTCTGCCCATCATTTCTGATTTTTCTCATCCTTTCTTGTTTTCTCTCTCACACATATTTCTTCCAATCTTTCAGGCCTTCAAGTGTGCACACACTTATACATATGCACTACTGTAAAATCCCCTCACACTAATTATCAAGTCCAGCCTCTGATGTACAGTAGCAATAACTTGTGAGGAAATTTGAAAAGGCATGAGAAGCTTTTTTCCTCATGTTACATTGACTTGATTAAATACTGATTGATTAAAAAGACTTCAGATGGCCTTGTGTCCATGGTGTGCTATGGTGGAAATGTTTTAATCAGTCACAGTTGTGCCTTTTTTTTTTATCAATCAGTATTTTCAGTAGCTTAATAAGCATAATGAACTTTGTGGAACAGTGTTGGCCACTACAGTCCCTGAATGAACCCAACAGAGCACCTTTTAAATCTGAGAAAGGTTCTGACTGTTCCCGCCTTTTACTGGCTAAGTGATGATAATAAAGAGGAAATAAAGTATACTGTAAGAATATAATTGCGTTACACAGCCTCTCTTGTAGTTACCACACATCTCTGCAGGACCAGCTGCATTAGAATAGTTGATTGCAGTCAGGACACACTTGCATTTCTCAGGACTATGTTATGTATGTATGTTAATTTGTGAAATTTCACTTGGATTGATATTTTTCAAAGTTAACTTGTTTTGTTTTTCGCCCCCCAGAATTCCCCTGGGTTGCTGCTTTGTTGCCAGCATACTGATATTTTATTATGGTGTTTATTTTATCACGGTGCTGTGATCATCAAGCTGATTTACTCGTTATCAACTTTTCAGAGTTTGAGCACACAAGTTAGTGATTTTAAACAAAAAGATGTTCTGCTGTAAAGTGATGCTATGTTAATGGTGGTTCTAAGCTATATTCATCTTTATTAGGGTGAAGTAAATATACAATATTTTATTCCTTTTAAACTATATTCAAGTTTGTATTTCAACAAGTCTTTTTGATTACTGCCTGTGACCACAGCATGACCTATTTAACTAGCTTGAGCATGATTAAATAGAAATCCATGTTGTATTTGTTCACACCGTAACACATATTACTTGCCTGAACATGCACATTTTTTTAAATCCAGTATAACCTTTACTTTGAATTTGAATCTTAAAGGTCACACAGCGTCTCACTTAAGATTGAGAATTCAGGGCTATACTGTGAGCTCCATGGCCAAAGAGCCTTGTTGAATTTCTAAAGTAGGAGAAACAGGTAGAAGAAGTGAGGGAGAAGAATGAAGGTTGATCTGTCAGCAAACTGAAAAATAACTGGATTTCATTTCTTCTGCACCTGAGATTTCCATTTTCTAATGCAAAAGGCGAAGGAGATTAAACAAGGTGAATTAAACAACTCACCCTGGACATTTATGTGCCAGCCACAAAGCTTGGACAGGCCAAATTTATGAGAGTTTGGACCAGTAAATACAGCACAGATGTGATTAGACTCATAAATAGGGTAGTTTCCTGCTGTCCTGCCCTTCACCAAAAGTACCCTGGGAAAGCATATGTTTGAAACATTTTCTTTTCTGCGCTGCCACTCCATGGTTTGCAAAGGGTCCTCTGTACTGTAGATGAGTCTTTATGAATACAACTGTCCTGATTTCTGTGACTTGATGCAGCTTTCTGTAGTTTTGCATGTAAATTTCTAATCTTTTGTCTTACTGTATGAGAATCATATTAAGAATAGGTGATTACTATAGTTACTTACAGATCAAGATAGTAATGGTGGTCACTACAGAGCCTCCTGTCCTTCACACATTTTTATTTACACTACATGGATTCTCTAATGTGACAGCTTTTTTTGTGTGAAATCATTGAAAAACAGGATTACAACAGAATCATATTATAAATCCTTCAATCCTGTCTTTGTCATCTGGAAAGGTTGAAAAACAAGATTATAACAACACCCAAACCTGATTCAGTTACTATTTTTCTTTCACAAATGGGCTGTGTTTTTAGATGAACATATCTTTTTTTTTTTTTCCCCTCACAATCCTTTTATTAGTCATTGCTCTCAAGGTAGACCAGCTGTGAATACGAGATTATGCTTTTCCAACTTCCTCCAGCTGGCGAGATCTAGTGTGGTTGCAAAAACCAAAGAAATTAAGTCCATGAATAACAGTTTCTGGTTTAATTTGTTTTTGGCTTTATGGCAGTAACAAACCACTATAAAACCCGCTATAGCTCCATATTATTATTTCACAATGGCACCATTTATTAATAGTGTATGATATTTTATTGGCTACATTTTTTTCTGATTTTTTTTTTCTTTTATCAGAAACCTATCTATGAATCTTGATATCGACCTCATTTCTTCCAGGTGGAGTGGTTGAAGAATGAAGAGATCATTGACCCAGCAGAGGACAGAAACTTCTACATCACCATTGACCACAACCTCATCATAAAACAGGCGCGTCTGTCTGACACAGCCAACTACACATGTGTGGCTAAGAACATTGTGGCCAAAAGACGAAGCACTACAGCGACCGTTATTGTTTATGGTAAGTTTATAGCTGTTGTCTTGTTACTGATTGCTGTAATTGTTCTGATTTAGGTTATCTGTTTTCATAAGTATTTGTGACTTTTTGTTGATATGACAGCTTTTCAAATTCTTGCTGCAGCTACCCAACAATGCTTCAGACCAGCCAAACCAGCCCCCATCTGCCACATGAAATTAGCTCTACTGCCACGCCAGCGTGGTCTCTTTGTCATTGGCCTGATAGTCCCACATCACCCCTGACCTCACCCAATTAAAATCCACCAATCAGGCTTTCAGTTTTAAATTAGAACACTCTGGCTTTCCAAATGTCTGCGTTTTCAGCCAGGAGTCTCACTACCAAATGAATTGTGCAGCATATGGTGTGGTAACAGCTGTGAAAAACAGCAACAGAAATAACTTTGAATGGCTCAGCTCTGAATGGTGTTACTTGTTTTTCAGGCAAAGCTCTTTTCGTGCTGTTTTTGCTAAAAACTGAAAATAAAAAGCTTGTTGAGAAAAGGAAAGTCTGTCATAGGCCTGGCTTCTTTTTTTTCATCTTACCAAAGGCCAGCCTGACGTGAGAGGATAGAAAACATTTTGAGGAGAAATGATGTATAGGAAAACACACACACAGAGTTTTTCTCTCAGATATAACACTGACTCTATTCACTAGGAGGAGTGTTTCAATCAAAAATAACTGTTCGTGTGTGCGTGTTCGATACAGGCAGCGACAGATAGAGTGGTTTGACACTGATGTATCCTTACAGAAATAGATTGTTCAATCTGTGGTTCAATTTTCTCGGCTCCACAAGGGCCCAGCTGACATTGTTGACAAGGTGAAATAGTAGTGGTAAAAAAAAAAACAGGAAAGAAAGAGGAAAAAATAAAACAACTGCAGATAGATGGAAGACAGGTGAGGAGAAGGGAGAAGCAGGTGAGTGAAGAAAAAAAGAGCTGAAAACTCTAAGAAACTAGATGATAAAAGTGAGTGCAGCAGATTTTACCAGGTACTTTCTCTCTGATGATTCATTTCTAATTGGGTGCTGAGAAAGCAGAGTGGGCACTGTCCACCGGGCTGAGACAGAACTGTCGAGAAGCAGCAGAGGATTTTCAGCCCCCTACACCTCTCAGGATGTCAGCTCTCTCTCTGGGGGCCACTGTGACTCATTCTAACTTTATACCTGATTTCTCTCTTTTGGTCTCATCTTTGCCTGTGCTATGCTGCCACATATTTCTCACGAAAAACAAGAATAATGCAAAATAATGAAGTAACAGTCATGTTGAAATGTGACAGAATGCAATGAAATCTTGTAGAGGTACAGTACAAATAAGAGAGGAGATATCAAAAGAGACAAAGGAAGAGAACAGATGAAAACTGGCCTAACTATTTTGGCTAGTGAAAAGAAAAAGCTAAATTATTACTGTGCTCTCACTAACAAAGGTCCAGGGTTAAGCAATTTGCTAGCAACATTACAGTTTCTGTGTGTTAGTGGGTTATCCAACTTCATGTGTGTCAGTCTGTGCCCTTCTCTGTGTACATTAATAAGCATGGACACAGTGGGGAAAAAATGTGCTACTGTAGCAGCGGGGAAATGGAAAAGTTTTACAAGACTGTGTGTGCTTGTGGATTTGGTGTGCTGAAAAATCCAGCTTTTCTACACTTCAGAAACCCAGCCTCTATAAAATGCATCACAACACTCCATCAAGACAAGTACATCAATTAAACCAAACAAGAAATAATAATAATAAAATTAAGTAGGACTTAAAAAGCAGGGATGTCCTAAAAGCATAAGCACTGTCTCATTTAGTCTTGCACCTTGACTTGTGAACTCTCAGTAGGTTTGTGCCTGAGAACCTCCGACTGTTTGCAGGTTGGTAGAAAACTGGTAGCCAGTGATCCGTCTTAATTTGGAGTTTGTTGATTTTTTTCTGATATATGCATGTTAAGCAAATGTTAAATTAAACATAAGGAACTAAAAGCATGTATGATGGAGTAGGTGTCACTATTGCACAGATTTGAACAGATTTTGGCAATATATTGAATTATTGTTGGACAAAGAGGCAAGAGAGGACTGTATTTGTTCGTACTGATGGTCTGGGATAATTATAAAGATTTCAATTCTTCCTGAATTTAATTGAAGCACCTTAGTTGACACTCAGGTTTTTAATGTCAGTTATGCCCTGTTTAGACTTTATACTAAAATGCGTCTCAGTGATCCGAACACAAATGAACAGCCAAGAAACATCTAGACGTCCAGGGTCTCCAAGGTGTCCAGCAGACCACTTGTGTTCAGGTTTCACTACTGCTGTGACACATGTGCTTAAATATTAAAAGGCCACAGGTACAATTATTACCTCAGTCTGTGGCCAAATGCATCCCAGACCACTTGTATTTGGCACTGTCCAATTGTGATTCGATCACCCAGGGCACATTTTAAAACAAAGTCTAAATGGGGTCTTAGGCATTCTCTAATAGTGGTCGGGCTAATGGGGCTTTCAGTGTTTACCAGGACATGCTGTATACTGTAAATGTGTAGAATCCACATAAAAATGGAAAAGATTGTCGTGTTTGTGAATGATGTGGCCAAGTGGGAGCATATAAAGTGAGAATAAAATTGGCTCCATAATGGACCCTTGGGGCACTCCAAAGTGTACCTATGAGAGAGGCAAAACATGCATCAATGTATTAATTAAGTGACTGATCTTTGTTGCCACAGTGAATGGTGGTTGGTCGACATGGACTGAGTGGTCAGTGTGTAACAGTCGTTGTGGACGAGGCTTCCAAAAACGAACCAGGAGCTGCACTAACCCCGCCCCACTCAATGGAGGCCTGCCCTGTGAGGGACAAGCCATCCAAAAACTGCCCTGTACCACGTTGTGCACTGGTAATTGTGTTTTCTTCTATTCAAATTAAATATAATCCAGATATATTGAGTTTGTGCAAATTTGGTGTAGTGTACTTTGTCCATTTTACTGTATACATTACTGCAGTATATTTTACTGTATCTGCTTCATTGTTGTACTGTTTAACTTCTGCTACATTCCACTTCTATCCCTTTTTGTACTTCCCCCCCCATATAAATACTATTCTTTAGGAGGCTTTGGACATAATTGAAGATGTTATCCTTGGTCTCTTCTTTTTTTTCATTAACATCCCTTGTCTGCTCTCGGCTTTCTCATTTCCTCGGCTTCTTTCCCCATCCTTTTCCTCTAGTGGATGGTGCGTGGACAGAGTGGAGTAAGTGGTCAGCCTGTGGGACAGAGTGTACCCAGTGGAGGAGGAGGGAGTGCAGCGACCCAGCTCCTAAAAATGGAGGAAAGGACTGTGAGGGGCTCATCCTCCAGTCTCAGAACTGTACTGATGGACTCTGTATGCAAAGTGAGTTGATAGTAATGATTCTTTCAGAGTATAAGCATTGACAGAGCTCTTCGATATGTACTGAAGTTGTATCATATATCATATCTAACCATGAAAAATGAGTATGCCAATTAGAACAAATGCCTTGCAGTATCTCCTTCAGAAGACAATTGACTTGAAAGTGAATTACTAGATTAGGCAGACCAGTGGTGTGGTGTTGCACGGTCAGAGTTTTATGTATGAGAGCCATAGTAAGTGAAGTGCAGCATGACAGTTTAAACTACTGATGATCCAAATTCATAAGTCAGTAATGCTGTAAAATTAACCCTTAAAAGTGTGGTTGTAAACTCATTGCTGGGCTTACTTTTGCATAAGGCTTCTTTAATGAAAATGTTCTGGAAGATGTTAGGATATTAAACATTTTTTATGCTTTGTTTTCCTTTTCAACTTTCAGCTAGCCTGTGTGTATGTTTACTGATCTGTGTTGCAGCAAAGTTAGACCACTTTGCTCTTCCTCTTGCTTGTTCCTTTCCTCCTTTTTTCCTTCTGCTCATGGCTCTTATCATTCCCCTTCATCTCGCTCTTCTCTTCTCCTGGAAACCCTACTCTTCACCATTCAACCTTCGGTCCTCACTGTCGTATGTTTATTAACTGCTCCTCTTTTGTGCCTTCCTACCTGTTTGACTTTCTTCTTTTTTAGAGACTTGCTCTTGCTCTACTGTACCCTTACACTTGTCCTCTATTCTTCTGTGCACCTTGTGGAGGTTTTTTGAATGCTTAATCATAATTAACCTCCCTTTTTTGATTTTTCTTGTCCATAACTCAAGTCAAAAATACCCGTTTTGTACGGAAAGTAACAGTAAATGATGATGTGAAACAGTCATACAAAATACCCCCACAGCTGAATGGTACCAATGTGTTACATTCAAAACCACATGGAAAATGAGTCATAATGGCACAAATATAGCAACAGCTGTTTTTCCAAAACGAAGGCAATTATATTTGTTGACTTGTAGAACAGTGCTTGTTGCAAGCACCTGACGTGTGTGAGTGAGAAGAGAGAACAAATAAAAATAAAGAAAAAATCCTTGTTGAAACAAGTTCACACACATGCTTGTAATGATGTTATCAATTGTCAGTAATCTTTCATTCTACAACATGGCAGCCAAAGAGAGGTTCTTCATTGATGGCAAGAGATCTGGTTGATCTCTGTGTTTGTCTTAAGAAGTTAAATTAAAAAGGATTGCTGTAAGGAACATTTGTCAGAGCCGAAGGCAGAATTGATCTGATCTGATGATACCGTACAAAGACACGTCAGCGACGTGAAAACAACGTGATATGATGCCTGTCGGTGCTTTTATTGCTGTTAATTGTGGCCTGGGCAAAACAAGAGTTTAAATCATAGTAGGGCATGTCTGGTCAAATCGGATAGGTTAAATAAAGTTTAAATAAATTAAATAGTTGCAAGCATACAGTCATGAATTCTGTTATGGAGAGATATACCTTATCATTAAGCACAATGCCTGAAGCTGAGTGACCCATTATGTGTGTGATTAAGTTCTGAGGGGAGTGTATAGCAGTGACAATATAAGAGATGGTCTGTATCACAAGTAATGTTATATAATTCATCAAAAATCTCTGTCCATGCTGGAGGTGCATTATTGACAGAGCTTGCTGCATATGCACACCCCTGCCCCCTCCCAGCACAGTGTATTATATACTGTATCGCTGATCCATCAAACGGATTCCCTAAGGCCTGTGAGGTATGGCCACAGAATCTGGGATAAAACCTAGAGAGGTATAGATTTAGGCTCATTTCCCTTCATTGATTTTGTGTCTTTAAAATGACTCCACAGACGTGGCTGTATGTCAGCACTAATGTTTCAGCTGTTTCCTGTAGCATTAACAGGAATCCATGAAGTGCATATGTCTGGGAGTGTATGTGCGTGTGCGCTGCTGTATATGGTTGTTAGAGGGAGTTTCTGCAGGCACAGCAGTTTATAGGTAGAGCTTATCTGAAATGCTCTGACTCCTGTGCAATTCTTCCATTTGGTTCTTTTGTGAATGATGACTCTCTTAAAATGTGGTCTTGACACAGATGGAAGATGTTTCAGTAGTTCTGATGCTCAACTGGGCAGTTACACTAAAACGTTTAAGACATTTACCATCAGTGAACCCCAAAAACATACAAAACGGGTGCAGAGATTTCCAGATAAAGCACAAAAAACACCACAAATCTTGAGCTATAGATGCAGTGTATAGTTTTGTTGTTTTGAACACCAAATTGTTAGGCTCCATTAAATGGTGTTTTTAAAAGTGACTTTTAGGGTTTCCAGGTTGTGAATGAACTGATAACACACTAGGAGTTAATGTTTTAGATAGTACTCTGTAATTGAGTTTGTGTTCCAAAAGCACTTCACTCTACTCTCCATCTCTTTTTTCTTTCTCATTTTCTCTCCACC